TTAATTAATAAGTTTTGTTCGATGAATAATTTTATAAAAATCAATTAAAATGTTTTTTGTTAGTTGTTATTTTGTATTAATATCCCGTCTTTCGACTTGTTTTCGAACAGTCTTTCTAGATCTTCGGGACATTTTGTACTCAAGACATACTCTGAGACATTTCATTCGCAATGAAAAACTAATAAATGGTGAATTTGATCGATCGAGTCAAAGATGGATACTTGAATTAGATTTAATAATCCAATTATGTTTCTGTTAATTCTGCCATTCAACACGAACATAATTCTATTTAACGTCAAATGAAGCTCAAATTAATTCTCACTATCGCATTTGCTATTGATTTTTTTTTTTTAACAGCTTGCAACATGTTATATGTTACCTCTGGGAGTAAATAATATCAATTACCACTTAAAAGAAAATTATGTCGAAGGCCAAACAGCAATTAAAAGAATAATTAAAGATTAAAATTGTTTTATAGAACCATTATAATTTTGTGTTTGTGATTAATAAATTTAATTTATCCACAAGATTTCGACAATAAATAAAATAATAAAATGTTGTATTTAATTTTTTTACATTATGAAAAATCAAAAGCTAAGTGAACTAAATCTTTGGTAACCATAAAAAAAATTGAAGAATAAAATTTTGTGAGTGTTACCAATTTTTTTAGTTGGCGATCAGCGATTGAAGAATAGTTGGTGGTTGATGCCAATAGCATCAACAGGGGCAGACCCAGCACCCAATTTGGGGGAGCGGTCGCTTGTGCTGGATCCTTCGGAGTTTTCAATACCGTCGGGCGACGGATCACTGTTGCAGATAGAAGACGGGAAGAAGATTGCCATGCCACTTTCAACGTGAAAATAGAAATGGCGTAGGAATTGCAACAGAATCGACGTCTGTTTGTGAAATGGCGCAGGGACAGACTGTCAAATGAAGAAGATGGATTGAAATTGGTTTGGCCCTTTTTTTAACTAGTGGGTTCAAGTTGTTTTAGGCTGATTAGCCATTGTCCAAAATCCAAAACCATCATATATTGGTTCAGGAGAATTGATTTCAATTTTCACACAATTTCCTCTCTTTCTCTAATTCTCTCTACACGTCATGGACTTGCTCAGTTGCTAGTGACCTACCAGCTGCGTGCCACCAACTTCCTCCGCTTGAGTTTTAGTTTGTAAATCTATAATTTGTGTGCAAAAATTAGTTTGAAATTCGATTCCTGTATCCAGGTTTTTTGGTTTACGTATAATCCTTCATTCCTTCTGCTAATTTTGAGCGAGCTGTTGGTATTCTAGTTGGTTGGTGTTTGATGATTATGTGATTGGGATGCTTTTGATGATTTACCTATAAATTAGTGATTTGAAATTTGGGTTCCTAATTTTGATGATTTATAAAATATTTCTAAATTGTATCTATACATAATTCAATATAAATATATACTTGCATTGGCTTTATTTTCATCTTAATT